GAGAAGGCCAAGCCAATATTCAATTTACTTAGAAAGCCAAAAGAGTTCTGCTGGAGTGACCAATGTGAACAAGCCTTTACCAACTTCAAGCAATTCTTATCGAGTCCACCCATCTTGTCAAAACCACACGGCCAAGCTGATCTCCTATTATATCTTGCAGTGGTTGATAACGCTCTTAGTGTCGCACTTGTGCAAGCAAATGACAAAAAACAAACTCCAATTTATTTCATCAGCCGAGTACTACAAGACACCTAGAGAAGATATCAGACAATAGAGAAGTTAGTTTTGGCACTGGTAGTAGCATCTCGCCGACTTCGCCCCTATTTCCAAAGTCATCAGGTTATTATGAAGTCAGATTACCCGATCAAGCAAATACTCAGAAAGCCCGACCTGGCCGGACGGATGATAGCTTGGTCAGTCTAGCTGTCCGAGTACGGTATCAAGTACAAAAGCCGAGGACCATTAAAAGCCCAATGTCTAGCTGATTTTGTTGTTGAGCTCACCCCTGTTCCACCTTTGGATGAACAGATTTGGACGTTGCACGTAGATGGATCCTCCAATGTGAAAGGCAGTGGTGCTGGCATTATCCTTGAAGGGCCAAATAACATGATGCTTGAACTTGCCATTAAATTTGATTTCAAAGCCACTAATAATCAAGCTGAATATGAAGCTTTGTTAGCAGGTTTAACACTGGCCAAAGACGTTGGAGTCAGAAGATTAAAATGTTGCAGTGATTCCAAGCTAATTACTGAACAAGTAGGAGGAAGTTATCAGACCAAAGATCCCCAACTTCAAAGGTATAATCTCATGGTATCTCGTCTTATAGATTTTTTCGATGTTTTCCAGATAGAACACATCCCCAGAGCTCAGAACGTCAGAGCCGATTTGTTGTCGAAGCTTGCTAGCACTAAACGTCCCGGCCAACATAAGACTATCATCCAAGAAACCATAGCTGCCCCTAGTTGTCAAGTCACAACGATTTTTGCTAACAATCCTTGTCAGCAAGGTTGGATGGCCGATATATGGAGATACCTCAAAGATGGGATCTTGCCGGATAGCAAGGTGGAAGCATCTAAGATTAAAAACAAGTCATGCCACTTCACCATTGAAGCTGACGAACTGTTGAGGTTTCTCCATGCCTCTCCTCAAGTGCTTAGACGCAGATCAGGCTAAATACGTAATGGATGAGATTCATCGTGGCATTTGTGGTATGCATTATGGAGCTCGGTCCATGGTGCCCGAGTTATTCGAGCTGGGTACTACTGGCCAACTATGAGATCGGATTGTAAGTCATATGTACAGAGATGCAAGGCTTGCCAAGAGTTTGGAAATCTCCACCGATTACCCCCAACATCTTTACAGTCCATGCAGTCAGCGTGGCCCTTTGCCTGGTGGGGGATGGATATTCTTGGTCCTTTTCCAATAGCGAAAGACCAACTAAAGTTTCTATTAGTTGGAATTGATTATTTCACAAAATGGATTGAAGCTGAAGCCTTAGCAAAGATCACTGCGGCCAATGTCCAAAAATTTACATGGAAGAAAATTATCTGTAGGTACGGCTTACCTAGTGCCATAACCACTGATAATGGGAAGCAGTTCGTTGATAAAAATTTTGAACAATTTTTGGGACAACTCGGAATCAATCACAAAGTTACTTCAATTGAACACCCACAAACCAACGGTCAAGTTGAAGCTGCCAACAAGGTTATCTTCAGAAAACTCAGGAAAAGACTTGACTCATCAAAAGTAGAATGGGTGGACGAGCTCCCAGGTGTTTTGTGGGCTTATCATTGCACACCACAAACTACCACCCAAGAAACCCCATATAAGTTAACTTATGGGTCTGATGCCATGATACCAGTGGAGGTCGGGGAACCAAGTCACCGAAGATTGACTTTTGATACCACTCAGAATACAAAAGCGTTGAAAACCAATCTCGATCTTGTGGATGAAATCAGAAAGTGCGCCCGAGTTCAAGAGGAGGCATGCAAGGTCAGAGCTGCCAGGAGATACAACTCCAAGCTTAAACCGAGATCCTTTCGAGAAGGAGACCTCGTTTGGAGAGCTATTGGAGAAGCTAGAAAAAAAATATCAGCATGAAATTTTGCAGCTAACTGGGAAGGCCCTTTCCGTATTTCAGAATGTCTGCAAAATGGTGCATACAGACTTGTGGAATTGAGTGGCAAAGTCATACCAAGGACTTGGAATGCTACTCATTTGAAATTTTATTATAGTTGAACTGTGTAAACCTAGGTGGTGTACTCTCTTTCCTAATTTAGTCTTTTTTCCCATAAAAAAGAAGGGTTTTGGCTGAAGAGGTTTTAACGAGGCATGCCTGAGGTCAGCAAGAGAGATGTAATGCATATACAACTCTACATTATAAATTCTCTCTTTTTGCTGTTATTCTCTTTCCCTCCGATATTCTCTCTTCTTACAACTTGGTTATTTTCCTTAATCTCTTATTCTTAATTCGTATGCCAGTTCTTACTCTAAAAGTTGGCCAAGTCTGAGCCAATGTTAACGAACTCGGCCAATTTTGGCTTTTAACTTAAAATTGGCCAAGTCTGAGCCGAACTTAAAATTGGCCAAGTCTGAGCCAATATTAACAAACTCGGCCAAATTTGGCTCTCAACTAAAAATTGGCCAAGTTTGAGCCGAACTTAAAAATTGGCCAAGCCTGAGCCAAACTTTAAAATTGGCCAAGTCTGAGTCAATGTTAATGCACTTAAGCCAATGCGAATTCTAATTCGAAAATTGGCCAAGTCTGAATCAATGATAACCTCAGCCAATTTTGCGCCAACATTAGTTCTAATTTAGCAATTGACCAAGTCTGAGCCAACGATCTCAGCACTAGACCGTCAATGACTTCCATACTCGACCAAATTTGGACCTACATTATCTATATGACTCGTTCCGATTCATACAATGACTGTTATTATTTATGACTCAAGCATTTTATCTTTACGAAAGAAATCCATTGAATGTATAATAACTTGCTTTTCATTGAAACTAAAACGTATATCGTCGAAACACCATTACTCAAAATAAACAAAATATGAGATAAAATGTCTATCATCGAAGTACACCTACTTAAACTGAACAAGTTTTATGAAATCCACTATTACAACTTCATTATCACTTTACTCTTCACCGCTAAAATTATTAGGTAGATCATCTTCACTGATCAATTTTCCATCAAATACATCTTTATTGATGTCTAGATCATGGAGATCGACTTCTGGGGCCACCACTTTGATTTGCCTAAGCGCCTTGGCAAACCCTCTTCTATGTTCTGCCATTAGCTGCAGATCGGCAGTCTCCAGCTCTGAACTTAATTTACTATTTCTCTTCTCTAATTCAGTAGCTTTTTCCACATCCGCAGCTATCACTTCTTGGCAGGCTTTGTTCTGCTCCCTCAACCTTTGCAACTCATCTTGCATTTCCTTATTGATATGATCTTTCTCTTCAAGCTTTATTGATGGAAACCCTCCTTGCATGGATTGAGTTAAGAGCGTGAAAGAGGGATGACCGGACTCCTTGGATCATGGAACTCAAGGTTTCTAGCCTTGGAGATGGAGATGGGCGAATGGTGTTTATGGAGGCTAGGTGTTTGATGAAATGCTAAGGTGGTACTCTAGGGTTTTGGCTCACTTCATTGATGGATGAAGGCCACTCCTAAAGGTGAGAACACTCACGGTGAAGATGAGAAGGATAGGTGGCCGAAATGACCAAGGGGACTAAGGAAGAATATTAAGGCACAAAGGCTCTCTTAATATCATAAATTCCAAAGTATTTACAAGGTGTGGGGTGTTGGGTATTTATAGGAGGGGAGGCATCTAGGGTTGCATTTGGAGTAGGCAAATGCATTCCAAATGAAATGCAAATGAACCCTAGATGCAACTTGGTGGCCAAGGATGGAATCTTTGGGTTTAGATTGGCTATATCTAGGTGCATGATAAGACCATGCAACCTTTGCCCTCCACTTGGGCCTAAGCCTTTCTAACACCAAAAATAGACCCAATGACACCAAAAACATGCGTCACCCTCTAATTAACACCCTAGCCCAAAATTAAAAACCTAATTATCTAGAGCACCCCATAATACAAGGGCAAAATGGGAAATACAAGGGAAAATAAATTCTAAGTCCTAAGCACCCCAAAATACAAGGGTAAAATTGGAAAATAAAATAAAAATAAATGCTATAAAAACTTAGGAGCTAAGGCCCAAAAGTAGGCTTACTCCTACTATGATTTTTCAACACTAACCCATTCCTCTTGCCTCCTTCAATATATCACCTCTTGGACTTCTCGGCCTTAGTGTTATTCCATCATTTATCTTCAGCTCCGCATTTTCTTTTTCTCTCTAGACGATTTTCCCCAGTTTCATCCTCAAGTCAGCATTCTCTTTTTCATTTTGTTCTCTCTTTCTCTCCATGCTCTTCACCTTACCCAAGAGTTCTTCCACTTTGGCTGAGTACGATTTGTTTGATCGAATTGATATCTCAAATGCCTTGGTGGATTCTGCCAACTTTGCTTTCACATCATTTAACCCGGCAGTCAATAACCCAATTTTTGAATTTTCCGCCTTCAACTTGTCCATTTGCTCTATGTTTTTCCCCCATCTTTGTCTTCAATGATCTTCCACCGCAATCGACCTCTGCAGAAATACTTCAACTGAATCCAAACCCTGTATGGGACCCACTTTTTCAATCAAGGCCTTGTCGGTAATGCGCGCAGGGTCGTCTTGATAAATAGCATCCGCTGTCACCTTAGCACTCCAAAATGAAGTAACATCTGGAGAAATGCTTACGTGATCTAATCTCCCAAGAGGGTTATTAGAGTCATCGCTGGTGCAATGACCGAGGTCGACTCGTTCAATCACCTTTTGAAGATCTTCCTTGTGGTATTGGAGATGAAAAACCGAGCTAGGCAATTGCTTTTTGCAGTTTGGACATCGTGTCATCAGGCGAAGTCGGATTAGCTGTTTCCTTGGACTTCAATGTCTACAAAACAAACGAAAATCAACATGTTTTATTCTATTATAGTAACTTTGTTCCCAAAAAGTAATAAAACATGCTTATTGTTTCTTCATCAAGAATCACAACGACTAGCTTGCTTCCCTCTTCACGACCGACACCCGATGTGGAGACACAGGGGATGTTCACATCAGCAACAACAATTGGATGACTTGAACTAGCAGTTTGATGAATCGCATCGCCAGCGGGCCGATTTGTGTCGGCACCCTTCTCTTCCTTAATCTCGGCTTGAAGGGGCCCCGGACGACTTGAGTCCACATCCTTATCCCCAACTCGTTGTTTTTTCTTCTTTGCTTCCAATTTTTCTTCTCCCACCTTGGCAATTTCCACATCTTTATCCCCATATTTTTCCTTCAATTCTCGCCACTTACTCTTTCCCATAATACCTACACAGAAAACAATTCACATGAGCATCAGTTATACATAAACTTTTCGTTAAGCGTAAATGTTGTTTTATCACACTTACTCTCTAAATCGTCTTGCTCTTTCCCATAATACCTACACATAAAACAATGCACAGTACCATCAGTTATACATAAACTTTTCGTTAAGCGTAAATGTTGTTTTATCACACTTACTCTCTAAATCGTCTTGCGGATTTTCTGATCCTGCAAGCAATAGAATAGCTTTACTCTCTACGGCCGAGCTAGCACTTCCAATTTCTCTATATCTTTCTTCTCTGCAACTGATAATACTAAACCCTCTAACCCAGAAAATCTCATGGGTTGTGCCTGCCAACTTAGAGGAAACCTCGCTTCACCATCCCAGTGAAAAATCGGATCCGAGGTTGCATCATTATGTGCAGATTGAACTTTGAAAAACTTTTCTTTAAAATTCTTATACGATTGCGAGAAAATTTGGAATAAACCACCGTTCGAACTCCCACTCAGTGACACCCATCCAAACGGTGGTTCCCCCAATTTTATCTGATAAAAATGCATGAAAACCCCCAAACTTGGCTTCATCCCCATTACTGAAAATAATATTTGAAACGCGCGTACAAAACCCCAGCTATTAGGGTGTAATTGACTAGGCGCCACATTAATCTTTCTTAGAAATTCACATTCGAACGGGGTAAAGGGGATTAACACACCCAAATCTCTAAACAGGCATTGGTACATGTATATGTAGGGAGGCGATGTCGACACTTGGAAAAATATACGTTCATCAGACGAACAGGGTTCAATGGAAAGGTGCTCTAAATACGGAGGAAGACAAAATTTCAATCTATGCTATAACACACTCGCCTCCATCGCATTCCTAACCCTACTCTCATACTTACCTACATCCCCCCTCACCCATTCGTACCCAGTCATGAGAATCTTAGGGTGGGAATCTTTCCTGTTGTTCCCACCCCTCTTTGGCACGCCCACCTCCTTCACCCTACTCCCTGTGGCCCTCTCCTTAGGTTTACCCATTTCCCCAATCTTTATACCCAACCCAACACAATATACAGATCAAGAGTAAAGCGCTTGGTACCTGTAATGTGTACGCCCCTGGATATATTCTACCCTCGCGTATCCTATTCTCCACGAATGTCTTCACTTGCAACGAATATAGAGGCCACTCGTATACCACCACCGCTAGCCTTTGTTTATATATCCCACTCCCTACATCCCTTTGTTACCTTGTGAAGCACTGCAACCCTTTTGCCACACGTCTCACACGCTTCGCATTCTTACACATTAAATGCCTCACCTCAAACCACTCAATCGTCATGATTAAATGTCGCCTCCGTTCACGCTTCCCCAGACTACAACTGTTGGACTTACACCGACACACTTCCTGTCCTTACACGTGTAACCCTTCAGTTTGTAACATTTTTTATTCCTTAGATTGCCTTCTACCTTTTATCAAGGGACGAGCTATGTTTCTTTTTCTCAGCTCTTTCATTCCTCCCTCATTCAGAGCTTGGGGGACTTATGTACCAACCTAACTCGAGCCGAGATTAATCGAGGTCACAGGTCAACTCGACCGAGGTGATTACTCAGACAAGCTAAGGTAAATACATCAAACACTAACACGTCATATCGGACAAGAGATATTAGCAAGGCACCTCGGCAAGTGGACGACCTCAAACACATTCAACCGCAAACTACTCTCATCAAGATAACCATATGGCAGTTACATGGTTATAGAGGAAACCACGATAGGTAATGATATAAGCAACACATGAGAGAGGATAGACAACTAACTTGATCGTCAGAGTCTTTTTTGCAGGTACATCCGAGACGCGTGAGAGAGGGATCGACCAAGAAGACTTGTTGAGCAGGCCAACTTCATCAAATTCCTTACAGGACCAACATGGACAAGGTAAATCATCCGAGCTGAAAGTCCGACCTCAGTCTTGTAAGAACAATAGCATTGTAACAATATATTATATTTATTTTAAATATTATTTTATATTAATTAATGTTGATTTTTTGAATTGATAATAATGTAACAAATTAATAAATTTATTTTAGAATTTAATTTGTATCATTGTTTGCTGTATAGGTTAATAACATAAAATTTACAACAATATATCAAATAATTTATATCTATTTTAAAATATTTTAATTTTTATAAAAAATAAATAAATATAATTATGTTAACTCAATTAACTCAATCCAATCTATTTGTGATTAAGTTTAAAAATAAATTATATAAATTCAACTCATTAAATCTTAATCGGACCTAATAACGAATTTTTCCAAATTCAATGCCACGTAACCCACTTACGGTTCTACTTAAGTGTCTTCTGAATATCCAAAGTTGATAAGACTCGAGGCCCAACTTTTTTCAAGTTTCTATTATATGAATTGATACTCGTCACCTCAGCAGCGTTTAATGGACGTGTACAACAACAATACACTGAAAACCGAAACACCGATATCGATTCCATACTCTTTTTTTTTTTCCTCTAATTTTACTAGTCGATTCACTACCTTTTTATATTATAAATACACTTTTTATGAAACTATATTTACATTCTTTTTTATTTAAATTTTAGGAGCAGGTTGCACTTTGTATTTATATTATTTTCTTTCAAAATATAAGTAAACAAAGACATTGTCTATTTTTCTTCTATTTTTACACCAGGTGTGAAGTGTGTGATCACTTAATATACTTTTCTTTTTCTAATATTTTATATGGCATGTTATATAATCATCGATATATTATACTACGTGTGTATAAGCCTATCAATAGTGAAATCACATATTTTTTAGGTACACTATTTTAATTTTTTTTATTTTATAAAATTAAATTATTAATTACATTATACTTAGATTATTATATTTAAATTTATTTTTTTCTTAGTTGGCAACAAATAATATTGAAGATTATACTTATGTTCTCTCATTTTTTTTTATTTGACATTTAAGGTTTATGTACAAGAATTAAGAAAATAATTGATATTTTAGTTTTTCAAAATATTTATTACTTATTTTTCTGTTATACCCTTTAGGTAATTGGAGAAAAAATAGGTTTCATTGAAAATGAATAAACACATTGTTCAGTATACACACATTAATTATCAACGATAAAAATGAAAAAGAAAATTAATAAACCATTGATTTTAGAAAAGTGACAAAGAAAAAAGAACAAAAAAATAGTGTCAAAATGACTATGAAAAGAAAAATAGAGGGAGTATCACTTAACTTGGTCAGGTCAAATTGGACTCCTATCTAGCCGAGCATCACAAGGTAAAATTTATAAAAATATTATAAATATTGAGGTTCAAATTTAATATATAAGAATTTGATTATATAAAAGTTTATTAGTTAAAAGAAAAAAAATAAAGTAAGAAGTCCACTCGACCAATTCGATATACATTAAAATCAAATCGTCAAGCCATCAAAATCAAAACATCAAATTACTACTTGTAGGTTGCTATTACCCTAAGCTTTGCATGAGAGTATCAATTAAATGATAGTTTACAAGTTGAAGAGATTCTTATGCACAACGATAGTTCTTTTATCATTTCAAGTTTTTCCTTTTCCTCTTCATCTTCACAAGTGGAGATTGTCATGTCCCGCAAAACTCTTGCATTCTGCAAAATATATTTTGCAAATTCAAACTCCCCAAAAGTGCCACTGTACTTGTTAAGGCAACATGATATAAGGTGAAATGAGATGCATTTGGGAACACGTGGTGGACATGACCAATCTTCTTTTACACCGCGCTCAGGTGCGTTTTCTGGACACTCCTGATAACATGCATTAACAAACAAAATAAATGCAAACATGTGAAGAAAACAAAATATAAATTGTTATTATAGTAACTCAACAAACCATGTAAATAGAGAGATTTTGAAGCTTGGGGCAATATTCAAGTATTTCAAACAGATCAATCCAGTAGTGAGCATAATCAAAATAGCACAATTCAATCTGAGTTAAATTGTGAAACATAGGAATCTGCAGCTGGTCTTCGATGTGTTTATCATCCTAAGAGTTACAGCACAATCAAGCCATTAGAAACCCTAATTTCCTTGAATATTGAAAGTAATGACAAAAGCATCACATTACCATTTTCTCTATTCGCAGGAAGTGAACATTATAAAGAACATCCAATGGAACCGCATCTTTGACTATGACAGCTCTAAGTAATTTGGGAAGTCTTCTAAATATTCCTTTAGTTTCATAGTGACTAAACCTTACACACTTGGTTACCAAGTCCTCAAGATTAGGAGTCCCACAAAGAAACGCCGCTAGATGTGTACGCTCTAAAAATACAACCAAATGCAGGATTTTAAGTGATGGCAAGTGAACAGATGAAAAACCACTCATTTCTTGGCATGTCAACTTGAGAACCACTAGGGTGCTGCAGTTAAGCAAGATTGAGGGTAAGACAATTATTTTAAGATCCATACAAAGGTCGATGTGTTCAACTCTGGATTGCGCTGCAGTGGTAAGCCATGCATTGAAAAAGGCAGAATCAAAAACAGAAGAGCAGCATCTGATGCGGAATCTTTTGAGGGGTTGGTTCAAATCACGGGAGAGGATAAATGTAGAGACAGACTGAACAAAGCGAAAACGGGCTTTATCGTTTGAAGAGTAGTTCCAGCAGGTGAAGTCGAGAGCAGGAACTGAACGCCAAAGGGGTTTCCATCTCTTGGATAGAACACTTGTGGCAACTACTTCTTCGGTTGGAACGAAAGAGAGAATGTGGCATAGGACATCGTCCGGCAAAATGTTGATTCTGTTACCCATATGATGACTTTAGAAAGCTTATACCAAACACGAAAATAATGTTTCGAAATATAACAGGGAATGCAAGTATTTTATACACTCAACAAAGTGATCCTAAGCGTCGAAACTCGTTTCAGAGGTTTATGTTTGCATTGAAGTTGATGCACTTTCCATTGAAAAGCCATACGTCACGAATATGAAACGGCTCATGTTGACTGTTGAATTCTATGAATACATTATGTATTAAATAAATATATATATTTAATGTATTAAAAATAGCAAAAATGTTTAATGCATTTTTCATCTAATAAATGTGAAGATTATTAAAATATGTTATAAGTAGGGTTTTCCACGTGAATGGATTAAATTTTTCTTGAGGGGAACGTGAATGGATTAAATAAAAACATTAATTATAGAATTAGTGTATAAGTAGTTTCATATATATATATAAAAATCCACGTAGTCATTCTCCATTTTTTAAATATGCTTTTATTAAAATAAAATATTCTTTCTCTTGACACTAAAAGTCGATAATGTCATGTTTATTTTTATTTAATTAAAAAATTGACATAAACAATGACATTGTCTGTTTTGTTTTGTTTTTTTTTTTTAGATTTTAAATCAATTACGATATTGTCTGTTTTAAATATTAAAGTAGATACTAATGTAGTTCTCTACAATGTTTTAAAAATTGGGCTAGTGATTAAATCGGCTCGAGTACTTAGTCATGAAAACAAAATTTAAACCAATGGATTACTAATTGAGTTATGTGATTTTGAGTCTCTTAAATTTTTTTTTTAAATATTCATATATATATATATATATGTATATATATATAAAAGGAGGGTTTAAATGACACCGGTATAACTTTTATTAAGTGTTATATCACTCCATAATTTTATATTAAATGTGAATTTTGTAAATCTAACCATTAGATTGAAAAAAAATTTCTCTTAGATCATATATACAAAATTTTATATTAATCCAAGATGATGTGATACTTCATTCTGATAAAACAAAATTGAAGTAATATATTTATTTTAAAATATATTAAAATATGAACACTTTAATTACCCTCAAGTTGTTCAATTTTAACAAAATTTGATATACACATATAAAGTGATATGAACTTTAAATCTAACGGTTGGATTTATAAAATTCACATTTAATATAAAGTTATTGAGCAGTGTAACACTTAGTAAAAGTTACACCGGTGTCGTTTGAACCATCCTATATATATATATATATATATATAAATTTCAATAAAATTATACCATATCTTAAATAAATTCTTTAAAAATTGTAATCATATTAGAATAATGAAATTATAACTTGATTTGAATCAAATAAAATTATATCTAATATAATATATAATTTTAAATTAAAAATAATATAATATATATATATATAAATTATTTAAGTCAATTAAATAACAATAAAATATGTTAATATTGTAGTCATTAAAATATTAAATAATTATATCCAACTAAGTGTCGGTTCAAGTCAATTGATGTTTAATTAATAAAATTAAATATTTAATTATAAATTTGTTATAAAATTAATTTAAGTCAATTGCATAGAATGTAATAAGCATGGTATAATGGGAGTGTAAACAAGTACAGGTAATCCTTGAACTCGAATTGATCCAAACCAATCCAATAAGTTTGGATCGAATTTTTTTGGTGTTTCGATCAAACCTGACCCAACCTGACCAAAACTCGGTACTGTGCGGGTGGGGTTTGTGTTTTCAATTCGTTATTGACCCGATCCAACCCGGTCATTTATTATTATTATTATTATTATTATTATTATTATTATTATTATTATATTTGAATGATTATTTGTTTATGATAATACTCACTCTCATTCTTACTAATAATAAGTTTTGTATTTTAGGTTGATAGCATTGTAACAATATATTATATTTATTTTAAATTTTCTTTTATATTAATTAATATTGACTTTTTGAGTTGATAATAATATAACAAATTAATAAATTTATTTTAGAATTTAATTTATATCATTGTTTATTGTATAGGTTGATAACATATAATTTGTAACAATATATCAAATGATTTACATTTATTTTAAAATATTTAAATTTTTATAAAAAATAAATAAATAAAATTATGTTGACTCGATTAACCTAATCTAATCTATTCGTGATTAGATTTAAAAATAAATTGTATAAATCCAACTCATTAAATCTTAATCTGACCGAATAACAAATTTATCCAAATTGGATGAACCTAACCCACTTACGGTCCTAGTTAAGTGTCTTCTTAATATCCAAAGTTGATAAGACTCGAGGCCCAACTTTTTTCAAGTTTCTATTATATGCATTGGTACTCGTCACCTCAGCAGCGTTTAATGGACGCGTACAACAACCATACACTGAAAACCGAAACACCGATATCGATTCCATACTCTTTTTTCCTCTAATTTTACTAGTCGATTCACTACCTTTTTATATTATAAATACACTTTTTATGAAACAATATTTACTTTCTTTTTTATTTAAATTTTAGGAGCAGGTTACACTTTGCATTTATATTATTTTCTTTCAAAATATAAGTAAACAAAGACATTGTCTATTTTTCTTCTATTTTTACACCAGGTGTGAAGTATGTGATCACTTAATATACTTCTTTTTCTAATATTTTATATGGCATGTTATATAATCATAGATATATTATACTACGTGTGTATAAGCCTATCAATAGTGAAATCACATATTTTTTAGGTACACTATTTTAATCTTTTTTATTTTATCAAATTAAATTATTAATTACATTATACTTAGATTATTATATTTAAATTTATTTTTTTCTTAGTTGGCAAAAAATAATATTGAAGATTGTACTTATGTTCTCTCGTTTTTATTATTTGACATTTAAGGTTTATGTACAAGAATTAAGAAAATAATTGATATTTTAGTTTTTTAAAATATTTATTACTTATTTTTCTGTTATACTCTTTAGGTGATTGAAGAAAAAATAGGTACATTGAAAAAGAATAAACACATTGTTTAGTAAACACACATTAATTATCAACGATAAAAATGAAAAAGAAAATTAATAAACCATTGATTTTAGAAAAGTGACAATAAAAGAAGAACAAAAAAAATAGTGTCAAAACGACTATGAAAAGAAAAATGGAGGGAGTACCATTTAACTTGGTCAGGTCAAATTGGACTCCTATCCAGCCGAGCATCACAAGGTAAAACTCAAGGCGATTAACTTCCAACAATTGACAAAATATCTTGGTGTGAATATCTTGGACCTGAATCCCCTCGATTCAAAAATAACTAGAGAGTATTCAATTTAAGAAATCTCCATCATTAGTTAAAATTAATGATCCAAATTTGTTTAGCAAAATTCATCGTTTCATTAACTCTCAAATTCTCAACTCTAGGATAGCTATCAATGATTTACTTAGAGTATTTTTGAGAAAATTTATTTTCATTTTTTTATGATATTTGGTCAATAGTAATTGATTCTCATGCCCACATTTTTCATTTAAATTCATCTTGCACCTATTATTGTCTAACGAATTTTATGCGAAATTATCTAAGTGTGTTATTGAGGTAACTTCAATGGATTATTTGGGCCATGTGATTTTAACCTATGGTGTCATCCAAATCTAGAGAAAATACAGACAAATTTGGATCGATCGATTCCACTTTCTCTCACAACTTCACATGGATTATTTTGGGCCTAACTATGTTATATCGTCGTTTTGTGAGACATTATGCTATTTTGGGCACTCTACTCTCCATGTTACTCAATTCTCTAGATACTCAATCTACATTGAATTAACAAGCTCAATAGTCCTTTTCAAAGTTAAAAATTAAAATAACTTCAATCCTTATTTTGTTGCTTCCTCATTTCCCATGTTCATTTTTCCTGAAAATTAATGCGCTAGTTACGATCATTGGTGTGTTCCTATCACAACATGACAATCCCATAGCATTTCTTAATAAAAAACTTAGGTCAAAAAATTCAAATAAAGTTTGTATACGTGAGGGAAATGTTTATGGTTATAGAATGGAGGTAGTATCTGTATAAATGGAGCTTGTATTTTATTAGCCAACATCATCAAATTATAGTGGATCAAAATAGTCTCAAAAACTTACTCTCTCAATCCATTAACACTTGACACAACATAAGTGGGTCACTAAGCTTTTAGATTTTGACTTCGACAATGTTTATAGGCCCAACAAAAATAATATTATCGTTAATGCTCTATGTCAGTTAGAATCGCCATTACTTTTGGTGTTGCACTTTTGTTCTCTGATTTCACCCCTTACATAGGGTGGAAACGATATTATACTCTTGTTATTCAATTGTAGGCCCATTAATAGTTTTGTATATGGACCCAAATAAATAAAAAAAGCTAATGGCAGAGCTAGGTACATCACTCCCAAATCTAGAAAGATACAGAAGACTAGTTGGCAAACTCATTTATCTCACAATTACAAGACCTTATATCCCTTTTGTAGTTGGATTGTAAGTTATTTCATGCAAGATCCTCATGTTGAACACTTGAATGTTGTAATTCAACAACTTCCGTGGCCCATTCAGGGGTATGAATTGTATGTTCCAATGTATCTATTGCTTGTGGCTAGAGTAGATTCAATCTTAGGCACTTCCTAGATTGCAAAATTAGGCCTTCGTAGATTATGCAACTTTCACTTTAAAATTTTATCTAGCATGTCAAGTTTATCACCTTACAAGGTGAAAAATCCACTAAACCTGTCCAAGTTCAATTTCATCACTTGAAGAGGATGCACCATACCCATGCTATTGTGGAATTGTTCACAGTTCAACCTACGCAACCATATTGCCCAAAGGACACAATTTTGGAGCTCCCTACTAACATTAATTGCAGTAAATTTAGCAAGCTTGCTTCTTTCTTATAGAGGAGTATTCAAGACACTAATAGGGTTAACTCCTCAAAGAAGCCAAGATCATACTATACCTCTCCAACAGAACTCAAAACCTATGAAAGTCAATCCATATAGATATCCATATAGT